GTATTAGGTTTGAAATTGTTATTTTGTTAGGTCAAACAAGCCAAATATGAGCAGTTCCACACAATAAAAAAAGTAACGTATTGATATGAAAATGTGCCGTTTTCACACAAACTGGGTGAAAACAATTTGGAATCCAGGGCTGTTGTAAACTTATAAACTTTCACAGCTTATAAACGTTCATCCCAGTCAAGTCAGGCTCCAGATGTTGGCTGGTGTAAGCCAAGCAGAGCATGAGAACATCACAGGACATGCATGAGGAGGGGCAGCAATGACTCAAGGCAACTACCTTTCTGGCAGGAGAAGAAGACTCAACAGTTGACTGAGAAGAAGTGGCAGCTGGATCAGGAGATGGAAGGCAAGAGGGAGAAGATGGAGGATGAGTGTGAGACAGGCCTTTAGAGAGTAGTTTATTCTGCACAGAACAGAGACAGAGGAAACAGAGATTATCCCGTGGGCAGACACAGGAATACTTGCCTCATAATGTAAACCCTACACCTCAGAGGGGAGAAGACACCGAGGTCCATGGTTCAGGATACAACAGAAGCCTGTCTTTGAGGCTGAAGTGGCTCCTAGCTACACTGTATTCTGTTTCAACAGTTACTGCTCCCTTGTCATACCAAAATAGATCCATTCTGCTTCTGCCTACACCTGCTCCAGACATCAGTGCTAATTACTGAAGTCCTTGCCCTGGAGCTTGGTATGGAGCAGCAGCTGCAAGCTTGGGTGTGTGTGTGTGTGAAACCCTGGGTCATGTTGAGGCAGAAGGCCATAGCAGGCCTACATTTATAGGTAGGCAACTGTACTGACCTCCTAGAAACTGCTGGAGCCCTAAATGTAGCACATATAACTAAATGCAGCACATCCCTTCCATGTCAGCAATTACACCAAAAGTGGAAGACATGGGTCCGGAGGAGGCTGTGTGAAAGATTAAGAAGAGATGTGTCCTAGAGACAGGCTTGCTGCAAGAAAAGGACTTGACACATGCACCCACTGGTTGGGCCTCATTCTCATTCTTCCAATTCCCTGTGAACACATGTTCTTCTTTTCTCCATGTCTCTAAATAAGTAGCTTGTTTGAAGAAGGCTGCATTTTCTATGCTAAGACAAGGTTTTCCTTCTTGGTTTGAGGTTGTCCCTTAAAGAACCAAACCCAAATTATGGTATGATTTTGGCTTAACCATTTAGTACCTCTCTGGTCTGCATGAGCAACTGGTTTGCTTTCACCATAAAGGCACTATGAGTCTTGTAACTGACCTGTGTCCCCTCTTTGCATTGGTCCTTGGAAATGCACAGTCAATTTAGAAACCAGCATCTAACAGCATAACTTTCTGTTGGCTAAAAGTCTCCTTTGACTTGGGCTTACTTTCCTGCCTTGGTTTTCCCTTTGTCTCATGGGTCAACTTATTTTGAATCTTTGCATTTGGATCTTTCTAGATGACATCTCTAACTCTTTAGTGGCTTGGAAAAAATAACTCCTCATGCCACGGAAGGAGGAAACCATATCTAACGTCTTATTCATGGCTACCTGGCTGGATGCCAAGCACTTGTGTTCCTGGGAACTCTGAAGGCCCTGAGTTTACCTGTGGAATATCTCCATGTCCAAACATGGAGGCCAGGTGAGCTGCCTTCTCCTTAATGTTCTTTTTGTGAAACTCCCTGTTGGCCAAGTTCTGAGCCCTCTTCTGTAGTCAAAGAAAGGAAGGAGAAAGAAGAGAGAGATCGTGACAGAGTCACTTGTGAGGTCACTTTTAAGAGAGCAGCCTAGGGCTCAACTCACCACACAGCAGACAGGAGACAGGGAAGGAACAGGAGGAGAAGGGACTGTCAGAGGTAGGAAGAGGGAGATGAAGGACAGGAAACCATCTACATATGGCACAGGCAGGTCAAGCTGGTCTTTCACCTGAAGAATCTTTTCTTCCACCTGTTGCAGCCGCTGCAGCACCCCAGAGAGGGCCAGTGCCCTCTGGCAGTTGGGAGGCAGGGCAGGGAGGTTTTCTGGCCCACCCAGCTGCAGGTCAGACTTGGCCCTGGCTCTCCAAGGCCTGTTCATCCGTTCACTGCCAGCAGACATTTGATTGAGTTCTCTGAGCACTTGCCCCGTCACAACAGAGGGGAACTGGGAGACAAGAAAAATCAAACTTCCCTCCTATGGCCCTTCCAGAAATCACCTCCCCTCAAGGACCCCTGAATTATAGAGGCAAAATATTGCACATTAGCTTCAGGTGCCTCCCTTCTGCTACTGCATTAGAATCACAGGGCACCCAGTTACCACTACACTCCTGTGCCTCACCCAGAACCCAACCCAAACATCTATATCCCTGGTTCCCATCCTAGCTGTATGCTGAGTTCATCTGAGGGTACTTTCAGAAAACCCCTGGCCTTGACCTCTAAATATGCTGGATTGATTGGTCTGAGGGTACATGAGACATTGATATTTTAGAAAAAAACCTCTCCAGGTAATTCGTGTGTACACAAACTATACAATTGTCATCTCCACTACCTCAAAGCAACACAAAATTCCTAACACTGGCCAGACACCACTCACTGTATTTGAATTCCTAGCCCAGGATGAGAACTGGAATAAGCCACAGTTCTTTTATGAAGGCCTCCAGCTACTTGAGTACTTGGAAAGGCCTGAGCCAGTCAGTGGGTGCAGCCTGTTAGGATGGGCCATCTGAGTCCATCCCATACTGATTTGGAAATCAGATATTCAAGTGGTCCATCGTCACATAAAGCTCAGTATCACAGGGCATCATCTAAAACAATTGGCACTGTACATGTTTTCTCCCCATCAGTAGCACCAAGAGTTGAGTGGTTGGTTGATACCCCTGACAGGATGAGGGATCATTGGCATACATGATTATTCTTACCTATCAGGGTGGTCAACTCATGCTATGTCTGCTTGCCCAGAAAATCTACAATCTGCCTTACATGGAGAATTGGGGAGTACCACTGACCCCACCCCTAGGCTCAATGTCTCCTCTGGCTTTCACAAAACAGCATCCACAGAAAAGAGCCCTACCTGCCTTTTTAGAGGAGGTGGTGGGCTGGAAGTGGGCTCCTCAGGCTTGGGGCAGTGAGAGAGAACAGGAGGATTGGAGGAAGAGCACAGGGCTGGCTTACCTATTCCTGAGTTACGGTGTTCCTGGGAGAAAGGCAAGTCCAGAAAAAAGAAAGCAGGCACAGAGAAAGGAAGAAAAATGTGAGTTAAACGGAGTTATATGGAAGGAGAAGAGGAACAGTGAAATGAAGAAAAAGCAGAAGGAAGGCTGGCTGAGTTCTTATAAACCAGACCCAACTGGGAAACCTGAGCCTTGGCTCTCTGTCCATATGAACAGCAAGTCCTGGAGTCTCTTCCTTTTGGACAACGTGTGAATCCTACAGGCCTTGCTTTTGGCTCAGACACAGAGCCAAAGTTGGCAGAGCCAGCTCATGCCATGACATTTTGGGCATTCTGCTGGAAGGAGAGCTTCCCATCCACTTACAGACAGGAATGTTCTGGTCTCTCTCATAGAATACAGCCCTCACCAACATGGGGGCTGGAGAAGGCCAATTCTCCAGAAGAAGTAATCGAGAATAGTTTTAGGGAACTATAATTAGGAAAATGTCCCTTTAAAATAAAATCACTTCCTGTGGAAGTTAGTCCAGGAGGGGGCATGATCCACATCAAGAAGCCGTCTCTGACTACCTCCAAACCTTGTTAGGCAGATGGCTACTTTCCCAAAAGAAGCCTAATTCTGTCATGGGTCAGGTATCTTCCATAGCCAAACTGACTCCCTATCCCTAAGCTTTTACGACAACCACATCCTAGGAAAATTCAGGGGTGCAAACTGAACCAGGAACACAGACTACAAGACAGATAGGAAGAATTGTAGCCTGAACACAGTATTCAACCTGTATTTAGCCTCAGCTGACCATGGTTTGACACAGTACCTCTCAGGCTGGCCAGTGCCTAGGAGGAGGAGAGTGCTAGGAAATACTTGGGAGGTTGCTCAAATCCCTGCACATCTCTGAGCCAACCTCATCTGGCCTGGATGAATTTTCACACCATGGACTTGGATAGTACTCTCCCATTTATCCAGGATCTCTACTCTCAACCTCAAAATTGGTTGTAAATCAATACCAAATTAGAAAATAGATAATATTATTGCAGAATAGACACCTGAAAACTATAGCCCATAAACCTTATCTTGCCATTGTTTTGGTAAATAAAGTTTTTTTTTTTGGTCGGTCGTGGGGCTTGAACTCTGGGCCTGAGTGCTGTCCCTCAGCTCTTCAGCTCAAGGCGAGTGCTCTACCACTTGAGCTACAGCACCACTTCCAGTTTTCTGGTGGTTTATTGGAGATAGGAGTCTCACGGTCTTTCCTGCCCGGGCTGGCTTTGAACCGCGATCCTCAGATCTCAGCCTCCTGAGTAGCTAGGATTACAGGCGTGAGCCACCAGCGCCCGGCTAAATAAAGTTTTATTGCAACATGGATGCTCTGATTTTTTTTTTTGGTGCTGGTTTTGGGGCTTGAACTCAGGGCTTTGGCACTGGCCCTGAGCCTCATTGTGCTCAAGGTTATCACTCTACCACTTGAGCCATATTGCCAATTCTGGCTTTTCTAAGTAGTTTATTGGAGATAAGAGTGTCATGGACTTATCTGCCCAGGTTGGCTTCAAACCATGATCCTCAAATCTCAGCTTTCTGAATAGCTAGGATTATAGGCATGAGCCACCAGCTTCCAGCATTCATTTATTTAGGTATCTTCTACATTGGTGTTCATCCAGCGGTGGCAGAACATCATGGAAGTTAGCATGGACTCTGAAGTGTAAAATGGGTTAGGTATCTCTGGCCTCATGGCAAAGCCTGCTACATCTTGACCAAGACACTCAGGTAATTTCACCAGTCCTGGGTCGGCATTTTCTCAGAGCCATCTCTAACCTGAGCATTTCTGCTCACTTGCCAGCAGGGTCTGGTCACTAGAAGGGAAGGTGAGTGAGCATCTGGAATGACTTACCTGCTTCAAGACTAAGTTGTTTTTACTGCTTTCCTCAAACTTGGCCAGCAGCTGATTTGCCATGGACTTGACTTTGTTCTGATTTCTACCTTCCTTCCTGCTGCCACACTCTTGATTGGCATCCAAGTTGCAGGAGAATGTTGATAGCTGCAGAGGTCAAAATAATACATTGGAGGTCAGCTCTTGGAATCCAGGTAACATGGAGGGGACTGGGACCTTAGAACATGCAACTGGTTTCTCAAAGCAAAACAGCTTCCAGAGATTGAGAAAGTTAAGGTCTGACACACCAGGGTCACTCAGCAAGGGAAAATATTCACAGGACAGATGTGGCTCTTCAAGGGATGGGCACAGCTAGGAGTCAGACAGGCTTTGAATCTTCACTTTCCATTCTCAGCCCTGTGACCTTGGCACTTTAGCTCTTTGAAGTTTCTTCATCAATGAGAAGAAGCAACCCATTTCAAGTGATTATTATATAAAGAATAATAACAATTTCATATTTTATAAAGAGTAAGAATGATACTATATAAGTATAATAAAGAAGCCAGGTGTCAGTGGCTCAAGACTGTAATCCTAGCTACTTAGGAGGCTGAGATCTGAGGATTGTCGATGGTTCAAAGCGAGCTGGGGCAGGAAAGTCTGTGAGACTCTTATTTCCAATTAATTACATCAGAAAGCAGATGTGGAGCTGTGGCTGAAGTGATAGAGTGCTAGCCTTGAGCAAAAGGAGCTCAGGGATAGTACCTAGGCACAGAGTTCAAGCTCCAGGAAAAAAAGAATAATAAAAAAGTGTTGTATTGAGTCATTTCCAAAATGTAGCACGTGGCCAACAAAAGCTGTATAGGGGGATGGAGGAAGCAAGAGGGTGATGTCAGTCAGGCAAGGCACAAGCTCTGTGCTCTGTGTTTCTCTTCTCTGTACCTTCTTCACAACTTCAGCTGCTCAGTGTCTGCTGTCTTTTAACAAATGTTAGTTTAGAAATAATATTTTTGTGTGTGCCAGTACTGCGGCTCGAACTCAGGGCCTTACTCTCTCCCTTACCTTTTTTGTTCAAGTCTGGTGCTATACCACTGAGCCACAGCTCCACTTCTGTCTTGTTGGTGATTAACTGGAGATAAGAGACTCATGGGCTTTTCTACACAGTGGAGAACTGTCATTCTCAGATCTCAACCTTCTGTGTAGCTAATATTACAGGCATGAGCCATAGACACCACTGCAACAAAAGTTGCAAAGAGGGTACAGCTTGTTCCTAGGTACCCTTCACATAATATCTGGAATCACCACTTCTACTGTTATCAAAACATTGGAATGATATTGTTAACCAAACCATAGGCTTTGTTTGGATTGCATCAGTTTTTCCACTAATGTCTTTTTATTCCTGTTCAGGGCTTCAGTCCAGGATCCCACACTGCATTTAGTCATCTTGTCTCCCTGGTCTTTTCCAATGTGTAAGGAATTTTATAGAAAATTCCTCAACATGGGCTGCTCTGATGTGTTCTCATGATTAGCTTGGGGCTATGGTTTCCACAGGGGAAAGATTTCACAGAGGTGAATGCCCTTCTCATTCCATCCTACTGGGGCACATGATAGTAACATGACTTAATGGTAGTGTGGGCCTTGATTATAAAATAGAATACCATGTAAAATTGCTCTAGCTCATCTGCTAATCATAAAAAGTTGAAAATTCTCTGTATTTCATAAGAATGTCCCTCCTCTCCTTGTAATTCTCTTCCTATATACCCCAGAGCATAAATGGTCATGCCGTGCCAGGTAGGTAAGTCAATTTTCTCAAGAAAACAATGAGGGTAGGTGTTTAGCTCAGGGACAGAGGGACAGACTGTTTGCCTAGCATGTGCCAGGCCCTGGGTTTGATTCCCAGTAGAAAGAGAGAAAGAAAGAAAGAAAGAAAGAAAGAAAGAAAGAAAGAAAGAAAGAAAGAAAGAAAGAAAGAAAGAAAGAAAGAAAAGAAAGAAAGAAAGGAAGAAAGGAAGAAAGAAAGAAAGAAAGCAAGGAAGGAAGGAAGGAAGGAAAAGAAAGAAAAGGGAAAAGAAAAGAAGGAAGGAAAGAGGGACAAAATGAAGAAAGAAAGAATCTTATCCATGAGAATAGTATGCACAAGTTAAGAAAGACGTGTTTAATTAGGAGAAATTCATGGGAAGAGGCAAGCTAGGATCAATTGTGTCTAAATATGTTCCCTAAGAGGAGCAGTTCCATGGGAAACTGTATATGTTATCACTATATAAAGTTTCAGGCAAACATAAAGCAAAGAACTACTCCCTACTTCAAAGCAGGAAGTGTGACCATGCACATCAACACAGGCTGTTTGTACAAGACCAAAGTCAGCCAACTTACTGAGGCTGGTGTTCTAAGATATCAATTGGCATGTGAATGACCTGGGGATCCATCTCTAAAAATAAATTTGATTTTAGCAGGTCTGGAGTGGGCTTCATGGTCTTTATTTCTAGAAAGTTCCTTGGTGATGTTAATGCTACTGGATTTTGGACCACACTTTTGAGTCTAGAAAGAATTATCTTCTTCTGAAAGCTGCCTTTAATCAAAACATCTGTCCCTGAAAACAGTCCAGACATCTCAAAAGGGACAGATGAAAATCTTCCTACTTCAGCTCCTGGGCTGCTAATAAGTAGAACAAATACCCCTCAAGAAGCCAACTGTGAAAGGGAAGAAAAGATCTCCCTCCTAAGACAACTTGAACCTGAGGCTTTAGGGAGCAGGCAGGAGTGAGCCAATGGCAGGGGAAGTGTAGAGCCACCCCATGACCTGGGAGGAGGGATGTGCCTCAGCCCTGGAAACAGTTCTGCTTCTCATCTGGGTTATCTCCTTATTCTCTGGTTTCTTGACAACACCATATCCAAGAATGGGGAAGCTATAATTCTTAAAAAGCTATAATTGCTCAAAAAAAATAAAAGGTCTATAAAATCTTCACATAAGGATGATATGGATTTCAGTCGATAGGACATATATGTTTATATGTTCAGTTGTGAACTGAACTCCAGGCTTCTTTGATCAGGAAGTAGGAGTAGGGGGTAGCTGTACTATTCCAAGGTGGGCTCCTGCCTCTGTCAATTATATAGCTTATGCTTAGGAAGTGGAACAGGTGACAGATCCAAACAATGTCCTAAACAACACAGCACTAAAACCTCCTCCAACATGAAACAGAAGTCTCTTCTGATTCCTGTGAGTCAAGTATTGTGCAAATCATTCCATGTGCCTCTAAGTCATCTCTGGGTATCAGCTAATAGGCTAGCTAAACTGGCATTCTCCCCCGGATTGGCATAAATACTCTTGCTTTGGTGGAATTAGAACTTTATTTTTAAAATGAAGTATATATCGCACATCTAGTTAAATTGCTGCTTGGAGAAGCAAGCAGATACTATTCCTCTTCCTCTGCTGATCAATTTTTCAGCATATGAGGATCAGAGCTTGCTTTTTTTTTTTTTTTTTTTTTTTGCCAAAGTCACTTGCAATTCTCATTCATTTCCAGAAGGTGGCAAGTGTAGGTACCAATTCATTTGACTATCAACAGAAGAAAACCTGTTTACTATTAATAATGACTCAACATTGATAAACATGTATTATTATATAAATCTTTTCTTTTTTTCTTTTCCTCTCTCTCTTTTCTTTTGAGACAAACTCCCTATATATCATAGCTGGTCTTGAACTTGATATTCCCTCTACCCCCATCTGTAACACCTAAATTACCTTACAGGTATTACAGGCATTACATCTAAGCCCCATCACGCTTAGATTCTATATCCTATTAATTTTTTTAAACCCTGAAAAGATTCATCCAATTTGAATGTACCATAACACTTACAGACAGGACCCATTCCCTGGGAGGTCATTTCTCAAAGTTACATAGCCAGTAAGTACTGAAGAATCAGAACCTGCCTCCACTCAACTAAGCATGGAAGCCAGTGGTTCATGAAAGAGAATAAACAACAGTGGGTGTGGAGAGCAGAGCTGCTGTCATGGTCAGGGAGCTCTGTACCCACTGGTTGTCAGGAAAGGAGCCTTTGTGTAATCTGATCCTGTGCACACAAACCTCCTCCAGATTGCTGAGTCCTCTCCGTCTTCGTTTGTTCATGTCCTTCTCTTCAGTTTGGACATCTACCTACAATTGCCAAGAAATCACGGTCATCTTAGGGCCAACAAAGACTTCATTTTCATGAACATTTCAGAGGCTATAGGGCTGGCTCTGTGTGCATAGGGATTCAGCCTTGCCTGTAAACAGCTGTCAGCCTAATGGCAGACATGGCAATAAATGACCTTGCATCCCGATAAAAGCTATGACAGAATTATGTGTAGGTATGGTGAAGGAAGACTTTATCTATCTGGGAAATCAGAGGTTTGCTCGGAAGGCCTAGGACTTACAGCCCAAAGGATCATAATGAAACATCCCAAAGCTGACAGAATTTATGTGACACTGGCAGGTCATGGATTGTCTCTATTTTGATATGACTTTGGGCTTTCAGTGGTAAAATTATATAACCAAGGGGGTGGCCAGGTTTGCTGATACCCTCAGTGGAGACCATCTAGGGTCTCTCTACTCTAGGGAGCCTGTCCTAAAAAGGTAACACTGGTTTACCTAGATGGGACTCAAATGAGTTGTCCAAGGAACTGGTGGCAAATTATCGTGATATCTTATTAATTTCAAAAAGGTGCTAGTGAGGCTAGAGGCGTATAGAAGCATACAGTCCAGTTTGCTGAGGACAGTTGATTCACTGCTGCCCCTCATCAACATAACTATTAACGTGCCTCCTTTCACTTTCAAAGGATCCTAATTTATATAATACAGTATTGGCTGCCCTATAGCTCCTATATTTCTTCTGTCTGAATCTAGACATTCAAATCAGGAAAACTCTCTACCTGAACACTTTAAAAAAATTATCTTTAAGTAGGTGTACAAAGAAGTTCCCATTCTACAAAACAGTATATGAGTACAAAGTGTCTGACAACATTGCCACCCATCTCTCTTAACCCATCCCATCTCTTACTTTTTTTCTTTGAGATTAGGTGATTACATAAATTTCACATATTTCACAGTATTGTGGAATAGTGATACTTAGAGTCACAAACACACTTTAACTTTCACAAGGCAAATGGTCATTATCATGGTCTATACAGCTTGTGAATTCTATGAGCTTTGACAGTACAAGTTATTTTTTTTCCACATCAGGTGATGTTTACATTTCTTTCCTTTTGCTTAGTGTGGGCTGTTCCCACTTACTCTGTTCCTCCTCCTGGCTTCCCTCTGTTGTGTGCATATATCTACCATATATATGATCCAGAACATGGAGTCATTTAGCAATGATATGGCAAAATGGGTGGCTGTCCTTTGTTTCTTGGGTCCTGTTTGCCATATCTTCTTGTATTTTGGCTTTAGCATCCACATATCAGGGAGACCATGTGCCTTTTGTCTCTTTATTCTTGGTTTATTTCACCCAAAATAATCTGCTCTAGTTCCATCCATTTCCCTGCAAATGCCATTATTTTGTCCTTTATAATGGCTGCATAATAGCCCATTGTATATAGATACCACAATTTTTGGATCCACTCATCAGTAGTGGGGCATCTGGGTTGTTTCCAAATCTTGGCTATTGGGAACAGTACTGCAATAAACATGGAGGTGCATGTGTCCTTGTATACTGGTCCCTGCTGCTCAGGGTAGATGCCTAGGAGTGGTATGGCTGGGTCATAAGGAGGGTCTATATTTAGTTTTCTGAGGTATCTCCAGACTGTTTCCCAAAATGGTTGTATTAGTGTACATTCCCACCAGCAATGCAGTAGGGTTCTTCTTTCTCCACATCCCCTTCAGCATTTAGGATGTGGGCCATTCTGACTGGGGAAAGGTGGTATCTCAGTATTGTTTTTATTTGCATTTCCTTTACAGCCATCTACCTGAACACTTTGAGTCACCCCTGAAAGAGCTTCCACAAGAAACATCTATACCAGGCCTTCTTTTTTTTTTTTTTTTTTTAATTTAATTTTATTTTATTTGAGAACATACTGTACAGAGGGGTTACAATTACATGGGCAGGATAATGCATACATTTCTTACCAAGCATTGCAGCCTCCTCCTTTGTTTACCCTTCACCTCCCTTCCCAGCCTCCCCCATCCCTCCCACCCAATCATACCCCCCCTCCCCCCCCCCCCCGACATTGTAAAGCTGGTTTTGACATGACATTTTGTACTTCTCATTGTTGCAACAGGTACCAGGCCTTCTTTAGAGAAAATAAGGAGTGTATGAGCTGAGGTGGGAATAGAGGCTGAATGTATATCTCCTCTGCATCCTGCTGGGTAAGCCTATCCTTGCTATGACCTTGGTCTATCTAGGCTATCTAGAACTCTCAATTACTGGCCTCCAGTTTCTGGGGCCATCTCACAATGGCTAGCTCCCACAGAACATCAGTCCCTTCTGCAGGGAGTTGCCTACACTCAAAGTCATTCATAGTAGGACTAGATTATATCTTAGTCTTTCCTCCACTGTGGATCAGGAAGAGGAGCTATCACTCACTATAAACTCAAGTGTGAAGCCTAGTCCCCCATACATCCTCCTCTTCCCAACCACAAGAGGATCCTTTTAGTTCTCACTGTTCTGAAATAGCCAAGAACTCTGAGTGCCTCAGCACCCACTTGCCTCCGCAGCCCCTGAAACCCTCTCTGTCATTCCCCACAGTGCTGGTTCACTAGCACTTTTTTTTTTTTTTAAAGAAAAGATCAATCACTGTTTAGTCACTGACCCAGGTGGCATAAAAACAGATCAAAGGGCCCTGCCTTCCCTTCAACATTTCCCTGAGCTTCTCATAAATCATTATTTTGTGAATGGAAATAATTTTAGCCCAAATGCTTGGGCAAACACCAAGAGAAACAGATGACCTTATTTTCAACAATGTTGGGGCTTGGAGGCACTGGCTGTCTGGTCCCATAGCTCCACAGTCTGTGACTGCCATTCTGCCCCCATGTTTGGAGATTTGAAAAAGAACAGAATGTCCTACCAACAAGAACAGTTTGTGCATAATCTTAGGGTTTTTCTGCTCTTTTTTCTTTTTGGTTTTGTTTTTGTTTCCACCTACAATAGGACTTGGCTTTTACCCCCAAAGAGCAATGTATCTTTCTCTGTCCTTCACACTCAACAGACCAAGGAGGCACTGCTTAAACAATCAGTGCCTGTATAGACCCCAGTCAGCCATGCTATTCAAAGACTCATGGAAACCATCCAGGGAGAGTGGGCTCAATTACCAGCTCCTAAGAAGACCCCCAGTCCTTCAAGTGGAATAAAAGAACCCACTCATTTGGATCCTAAACACTAAAATGAAGTCTATATGGAAAGGTTAGCAATACACATACCCCCCAAAAGGTCTTTACTTTTCCTTATAGGTCTATCATTGAAACAGTCAGTCTCAACTAAGAGCAACAAGAAGGTCAAGAAAACTGAACCCAAAAGGTTTATCTATTTTCTTTATCTGTGTATATACTTTGGAAGTAGATTATCTCAGAATCTCCATTTCCTTGACCTTATTGTATCCTATAATAAACTGGAAGCCCAAGGAGGAAGCAGATACCATGAGACAAGCATGAGAATAAATAAGTAATAAACTTTCTATTCCTATTAAGTTTTCCAATTCTTTCACTCTAAAAACATCTTGACTTCCCAAGGAAGTCAAGAATTTATATACCAGAAGGAATTTACTAAGTGAATTGGTTTCCCTCTTTTAAGAAAGACACTAAAAAAAAAGACATATTATCTGCCAATCTGATATTTATTTGATTAGCATAAGATAACCATGTTCTCATATTTCCTGAGTTAATGTTATCTGGGGTTAAAAACAAACAACTTTTATATTTAATTAGTTGGCATAGACTAACCCTGGAGATATTTAGACCTGGTCATAGGAAAAGATAGACCACTATTAAAGGCTAATGGTCTATCACTTGAGCCATACCTCCACTGCTGATTTTTTGCTGGTTAATTGGAGATAAGAGTCTCTCAGATGTATCTACTTTGGTTGGCTTTAAATCTTGATCCTCAGATCTCAGCCTCCTGAGTATCTAGGATTACAGGCATGAGCCAACTAGTTCAGCTTCTTATTTACTTTGAAAATATTCAACAGGCCATATTCTCCATTTTCTATCATTCCATTCTTCTAACTACCTTTATAATACTGAAAATAAGCTGCACGGGGCCTGAGAGAACTTCCAAAAACACTCAATTACTAAAGCAAGTTTTATGAACAACTTCTGTGAGTACTTTTTTTTTTTTTTGTCAGTCATGGCCTGAACTCAGGGCCTGGGCGCTGTCCCTCAGCTCTTCAGCTCAAGGCTAGCGCTTGACCACTTGAGCTACAGCACCACTTCCGGCTTTTTCTGCTTATGTGGTGCTGAGGAATTGAACCCAGGGCTTCATGTATGCAAGACTCTACCACTGAGCCACCTTCCCAGCCCCAAAAGCATTTTTTTTTTTTTGGTCCGGTGGGGCCTGAACTCTGGGCCTGGGCGCTGTCCCTCAGCTCTTCAGCTCAGGGCTAGCACTCTTCCACTTGAGCCACAGCACCACTTCCGGCTTTCTTCTTTTTGCTTATGTGGTGCTGAGGAATCGAACTCAAGGCCTCAGGCATGCAAGGGAAGCACTCTACCACTGAGCCACCTTCCCAGCCCCTACTGTGAGTACTTTATCTGGGTAAATTATCAGCATAAATAGAACAAGGGAATGAAATTCTCCTTCCTTTTGCTATATCCACATGCAATGAGAAAGAAAACGCAAACCAGTCTGAGACTTACGCGTGGAGTTCTCTTCCTTGGAAATGTGAGATTGAGATAGTGATTGGAAATGGATGATTTGGCCAGGCTGATGTCAGCATTTTCTCCATAGTTTTTACGCCAAGAATCTGTTGGAGGGTATCAGAACATAATTGAGATCTTGGGCCTAAAAGGTGTTATAATCAGGGATGTGACTATACCACAGTCCCTCTAGAAAATTATCTTACCCCCATGCTATAAATGCCTAAGGGGAGCTGTTTTGGTTCTAACTTTAGAGCCTTCCATATAGACCCATGGACACACACAGAGTTGAGCAGATGGCACCCCTGTCAGGAATAGCCAGACTCGGCTAAAGGACAGGCATGGCAACATTGGGTCTGGTAAAGCCTTCTGAGGTTACTTACCCATAGGCCTCAGTGGGGCACCCCGGAAGAGCTCATAGAACTTGGAGAGGTACATGACTATGTTGAGTTTGTCAGGCTCCTGGGATGATGCCATCTCTTTGCCTGTGGTTACTGGAGGGATCCCAAACTCACGCTCAGCCACATCAAATGCCAACTGGTTGTTTCCCACGGCATCATCTTCGTTTAAGGAGTCAAAATTGCTGGAGAGTAGAACCAGATGCAGTTCAGGGAGAGGTGAGACAGGCTGAGCATATTTTGTCTGTAGGAAGAACTGTAAGCTGACCTCCACCTCATATTGGCAACCCAAAGTCCCTCTCTACTACCCCAGAAAATGCTAACCCTACCCATCTTGCTGAAAGCATCAGAAAATGATTCTCTTAGGAATAACTTTACTTTTGGCTATTTCCCTTGTGTTTTTAAAAATGTAATACTAATTGGGCTTCTCTCAAAATAATTAAGTTATATGAACTATATAGTGATGAGCTTCCCACCCACTTCTCATGACAATCTACAAAGGTCCCAACTGATGACATTGGATAGGTTTCCATTTGCCTTTTTAAAGGATTTGCCTGCAGGTGTGAGGTGAGGTTGCTGTCAGTGATGTTATGAATGTATGGTGTTTTAGACATCAGAAAGTGTCATCTAATCTTCCCAAAGGCCTTACTATTGTTTTCAATGTACAGATCTCAAGTCAGACATAGACTCTAACACTGACAGTAGCTAAAAGGTTACAGATAACCAATTTGGGTCTCAAACATACCCCATTTGGTCCCCAGATTCAGATCTCACCCCTACTTCCTTTTCTGGGGTTTGGGCTTCAAGGCAGGAATGCCAGATTTCCAAAACATGGTGGGGAGCTGAGCAGTCACTAGTCACCTTGTTAATTTTGACTCTCATGTATTAGGAAAACAGCTATGTCCCCAAATATATTACTAGTACCATATGACCCTCATATATCAGGGACACAGACCAAACACATTGCTGATCCAGCAGTCAATGCAAGAGGAAGGAACAAATTTCAGAAAAAAACTAAAATCAAAACATGCACAGAGAAAGTTTAACAAGTAAGGAATCTACACCCAGTACTAGCCTTAGTGTCCCTTGTTTTCAAGGTCCAGCTTGGGCCCCAGACTCACATTAGCTCTGGCCGGAAGCGATGGATGATGGCGCACAGGGCCAGGCCACTGCGCCAGGATGTGGTTAGGTCGGTGATGTTGACATGCTCATAGCCCTCAGTCTGTTGCTGGCACCAGGTTAAGAGCTTGTTGGGCCGGATGTCTGACTCTGCAGAGAGGAAACCCAGGCAGTGAGGCTTTGGGGGAATATCAAGCAGCTGAACCTAAATATCCCTTCCCTCTGCTACCAGGGCTGGGAATCAGTGGACTGGTAGCAAGGAAAGGGACTTAGGTATGGATACAGTCCCTGAGAACTGATGACTAGGCCAAGGGTATGGCTAGAGGGTAGGTTTCTGGGAAAAGTAGAATCTCTAGGACCAACCATGGTCAAACTCCTGGGAAGAAGGTAGTAACACAGACTCTGCCAGCAATGGCCATCTAGGGGGAGATGATGGTGTACATGCAGTAGAGGGAGAGTGGGTGCTGGGGAGTGCATGAATGGGTTTGCCTCCAGGAACTCCTTAAAGCAAGCATCCAGGGATGTTCATTGGAGCTAGCTCTTGCAGTGTCAAGGGATTCACCAGACAGAAGAAGACATTTCAGGAAAATAGGCCAGTGCAGTGACAAAGAATGTGGAAGCCTTGCATGTTGTTTACTATAATAAATAGGAAGGAGGTCTGTGATGTGTGGAGGGAAGGGAAGAGGAAGGCCAGATTTGATTAACAAAGGGTTTAGACAGATAGAAGTAGCTAGCGTGTCTTCAGACAGCAGAGGGTCCTGAGCAAGGCTGGATGCTGGGGAAGCTTCTCATTGACCCACTCCTTTTCTGCCATTGAGCAGCAGGCCCCACACCTATTACTCTGCTAGGCTCAGAAAGATCAGAAGAAGAGTGAAGAATGTGGTACTCATCATTCAGTTGGGTAGACAAGATCCTCATGTGAGAAGAAGAGGAAAAAAAACATTCCTGTGAAATCATTCCACAGTTCACTTTCCTAGGCTAAGCACCCAACATGTATTAACTCTAATCCACTTAAGGTTACCATGGATAGGTGTAGCCTTTTTCTTGGTTTTATAGATAAGAAAGCTAATGTACAAATGGAGAGATGCCTGCCATCTCACAAAGGTAATGGGTAGAGACAAGCTGGCAGCAGAGTCTATGTAACCATAATCATGGAGCAGACCTTCTCCCCATAAAGTCCCTCTCAATAACCTGGTAAAGGCCCAAAGAAGGCTGCTTACCCCGTCTGGAGAGGCTCGCAGATCTCCTCACTGAACCCAGTCTCTCGAGAGGGTAACGGTCTAGCTCCTTGGTGATGTACAAATGCTTCACCTATGAATAAAACAGACAGAATCTGCCCACCAGATTCCCCAAATCATTGGCTCAAGGCTCCTAAACTCAACTCACTCTATTGCTGCTGACCACTGCTTTCTTCCATTGCTGGATGGCATGAAATTCAGCAAAGAAGCCCAAGCAACTTCACTATAGATGGTGGATCTTAATTGTCCAAAATGTGGGTAAACTGAAAGATCTGAGTTGGCAAATTTCAAAATTCCATACTTCATTCTATTGATTGAAAGGGCTAGAAGTTGAGTGGTTGTGATTCAATAGGAGAAACAACGGGGACCGGGACCATAGTTGGCAGGGAAGAGAGGGTATTTGGCAAGGTAGATGGTTTGAGAGCTGTTTGATCAGTATTGAATACATATAATTACAAATTAGCAAATATAAATATTTGTACATATGCCAAGTGCAGGTGCATGCATACATAAACAAATAATATGTGCTACAGTTCCTTCTTGTGGGCTAGAAAGAATGCTGTCTATATTGTATTCTGGGATCTTTTGGAGTATTGTTGGCCTTAGTCCCAAGAATGGGTCAAGATTTTATAACATCCTCCTTTTCCCTCTGCTCAGTGTAGGAACCGAAACAGGCCTAGGAATGGGCTTACCTGGTGGGGTCTGACACAATTTGAGTTGAGGTTTGGGTACCGTGTCCCTGGGTCCAATGTATACTGCTCAAAGTTCTTGTTGATGTTCTCTGGGGTGGTTTGAGGTAACAGCCGGTAGAGACTTTCTCTAGAGGGAGGCAGAGCCCAGAGATCATGGATTGCTCATGTTTCCTCAAGATATTTCTCCACCTTCCTCTATTTCCTCCTCTGGGCTATAAGTGTTTTTGTGTACCTCTTCTCCAAAATGCTTTGCACTAGGGCCTTGACAGCTGTAAAGTGAGGGGAGGGGTAAAGGGGCTGGGAAGAAGGGGTGTCCAGGTGGCAGGGACGTAGTCTTCTTTCTTGGTCAGAAGACAGGGACACAGGGCTGGCAGCTTGGTAACCTGTGATCCAGCTAGAACCACCACTCATCAACACTGCCTTCTATGGTCTGTCTTTACCACAGGCCTCTATACCCAAAGCCATCATCAGTCTGTCTCCTTGCCAGCCCTGACTATCCCAGTGTACCAGCTGTCACAGCCACGTGGCCAACAGCAGGGGTCTGGGAAGAAAGCCCAGATCTCACCAGTGGAAGAGGCTTGAGAAGCCAGAAAACCCCACCCAGGGCAGAATATTGAGTGTGGTTCTTAAAGACTCCCTTAAATAAACCACACTGGATCTTGATCAGATAAACAATGGTAGTGAGCCCCAATTTCTGGGCCAAAGAACTTGGTCATGAGTGAAAGTCACTAAAGGAGGTAGATGATGATGGAGTTTGCTTGGAAACCCTGAAATCAAAGCAGGCCAAGTATAAGAAGGCAGGTGAGGGTAAGACAGAGGCTCCAGGTACAGCTGGCCTTTCCCCAACTTCTGCTTGAACCTTTGACCCAGCTCATCCCTGGCTAGAAGCCCTGCTCTCAAAACTCACCTTTCAGCCAGCAGCTCCAGGGGTGGGGTGCCCTGGTCCCAGCTCTTCACCATCCATGCTGTGTCAAAGGCTGCCAAGAATCCACGAGCACAGCCTGTGCCCATGGGCCAAAATGGCTACAAAAGAATATTGTTTGGTCAATGCTTACATAAAAATCAAATCTTTTCCCTTTGAGAAACAGTCATTTAATTGAAGAGTCTTTGTGCTTGAAGATTTGAGTGGGAAGGCTAAAATGCTGGTCTTTATCACACACTCTTCTCCATTCCACTTGTACTTTGTAAGCCCTCCATATTGATAGGCCATTAAAGGCCACCCATATGAAGAAAAATGTCCCACCCCACCTCAGAGTCTACACATTCTGAGAATAACCTTATGGTCCATACCAGGTCTCATTGAAGAGGGCAACACAGAACAAGCTAAGGAAGGAGAAACAGCTACAGCCTACAGACAGATGGGCAGGCTCTTGGAGTAGCCTTGCCAGAGGCCTGCCCACTAGCTGAGTACATCCTCTTTCCTGGGATATATAATAGGAGATGGTGCTAGCCAGAGCACAAATGCAGGGATCGTTCTCATATCAAGAATGAGGGGCTCCAAATGCAGGTAGTACCTCGAGCAAGCTGTCACCCACAAGGGCCACAAGCAGCTGGTGTGACTGACGCTCCCGCACCAGTGCTGCATTCTCTGAAGCATACATGGAAGTGAAGTCAAACATGGCCACATCAGGCTGCCCATAGTGATTCATGGCAAAGTCTAAGGATGGCAACTGATAATTGGTAGCAAAGTCTGCAGCTTCCCGGGCATAGGAAAGTAAGTTTTCCTGGTTCACGTTCTCTGCACATAGCAGCATCTCTGTGTCAATGTAGTCCTGAGAAAGATCAAAATACAGTATAACAATTCTCTTTGTAGTAAGTGGCATTGTGGCTCAAAGTGGTAGAGTGCTAGCCTTGAGCGCAAAAGCTCAGGGACAATGCTTAGGCCCTGAGTTCAAGCTCCATGACAGAAACAAAACCAAACAAAACCCAACAAACAAACAAAATCCAACAAACAACCCCTCCCCCATCCTTCTTAAGAGCTGTGACTCAGACTCACTTTAGGCAAAAGGACTTGGGATGGGTCTGTACCAAGAGGTTAATCAAAACAGAAATAGAAAATCAAAGACAAGGGACTAAAGAGGAAACAAATCAGCCAGTTGTGAGGGTTAACATAGTTGTAATCAAATATCAAATTTGGCTTTGAGCTTCCTGGCACCCAAGGCAAAAGGGAAATGTGATATGTAGCAGGGTTTTCCTTATCAGAAAGAAGGAAGCTTACCAGTTCCTCAAGGAGGCATTTTTTTTTTTTCCTGGCACTAAATTCTGAAAGATCTAACTCATGTGGGAATTTCAACAGAGGGCACTGAGAGCTGTTAATGAACAGTCTACTTGATAATGGTTTTGAAACATATGTCTTATGGCTAGTTCTTGTAACTTTCAATACAATTACAAGACAAAAGAGCAAGTTAGTGAGCGTGATTTAATAACAGAACAAGCTAAGTTCACATGGTTCAACTCTGCTGTGTTGTGCAGCCAAACAAGACTAGTAAAAGAAATGGTTGCTTAACATAACTCTCAAACTTTCTTTCCAGGCTCAGTTATTCCTTTTCTGGAGAAGCTAGGGCCACTCACAGCTTGACTTTGCTCACTTCTGCTGGGACTGAGAACCTGAGTTTAGAGTACTTGAAAGTCCATCGATGTATAAGATGCAAACAGACTTGGGGCCAAGGAGTAAAATAAAGTGCTATAAATGGGCAAGTTACTTAACTGAGCTCTGATTTGTAAAATGAGAATAGCAAAATCTACTTCTCAGATCCATGAGGGGACTGTGTGAGACTGTATATGTGAAATCCTTAGTCCCTCATCTATAGGCTTTTAGGAAGTACTCAATGAATCACACTAAAGTAGCATCTGGTGATGTAACACCTGGACTTATGCAAGATACCAGCATGAGCACTTGCACAAGTGTCCAGAGGCATAGCCTCACCTATAGCCAGAGTGGTCACCTATCTCCATTTTCTGAAGAGTCATGATTTCAAATACCTTGTTTGTGAAGTTCTGACATTTTCTTATCTGAATCACATGCCCCAAATTGTGCCCCTAGCATGGTCCCACAAGCCCACTGTCAGTCTGGGGTCCCTATTCATTCCTAGAGCCATGTGATCATGAGCTTGCCTTGGAAGTATAAAGGTGGGATGAAGAGTCATGGCAGAAATCTCACACATTCCCTCTCCCTAGAACCTACCCCAGACCCCCTAAGGTAGACCAGAGGAATGAAGACACTATATGATAAAGACATTGCTTTGTGTAGATGTACCAAGCAGAGATGCAGGGGCCCCCCAGAGGGAGTAGGCCTCCAGGATGGGCCTGGATGAGAGCCCAGGGCTATTGTGGGGGGTCCCAAGTAAGTGGATAGTAGAAAAAGGAGGATACCACTGATAAAGGGAGAGGAGAAAGTAAGGACAAAGCACTCCCGAAGGTCTTTGAAAGAATAGGGACTTGGTGAAAATGGCATGGGTCTGGGATCCTCTCCCAGCTCCTCCACGGACACCATGGGACCACAGTGAGTCATTCTCACCCACCTGTGCCACAATAAAGAGCCTGCGACAGGAAGGTGGATGGTCTTTGATGATTGCCAAGGAATCAAGTGGGCATGAGTAACATGTCGTTGCCTGGTCAAATTCCCTGGGATGTTTGAAGGTGACCTCAGCATCCCAGGAGACTGGATCCTCTGCCAAGTGAATCACCAAACCCTAGTCGCATTTTGCCTAACTGGTCAGGTCCTCATTTGCAAAGATTTCCAATAAACCACGTTCCCAGAATGGTCTGGCATTTTCTCTTCAGTCAGATACTGACCAAGGAGGACATGTCAGGAGAGATGCCACCTCCCCACACTTATCAGTAAGCAGCTGGGCAGCAGCTTTGGAAGTCTGGTGCCCTATTGCTGCTGTGCCAAGTTAGCTTCACCCAGCACCTACTCATAGCCTCTGCCCACAGCATAGGCTCTTAGCTAAGGCCTGAGCTGGTGTGGAGGTAGCCCAGGGGAGGGCTGGGTTACTAATGTTGTTAGGCCAGCTGCCAATACAAGCTGGTGAGAAGCTAGGCACATTCTTGTCTGACAAGCAGCAATGAATGGTTCCCATGCTGCCTGAATTCCAGGCTGGCACCAGGAGAACACACTGACCCAGGACTGCATGATCCTTATCTTGAGGAGATAGCAGACAAGGCAGCAACAGAGGCAAGAATGGGCTCTGCAGAGGGTGAATTCTGAGCACAAGAACTGCCAGCCCAGGCACTACCCTTCCATGGGATTCTTCCTCCCAAATCTGTTTTCTTTCTTAGATTTAAAGATGCAAAGCTATAAAGCAGAGGTCAAGAAACCAGGAAGAACAAAAGGGAAGGTGTTCGAACAGGCTAAGAAGTTAGAGAGGGAATCTACAAACCCATTGTGTGCCAGGCATTATATTATATTACTAGGTGTTGTATGTATGTGTACATATATTACATATATTTGCTCCTCTCACAAACATTTTAAGAAAGAAATAATTATTATTCCTACTTTGTACATGTGAAGACTAGGGTTTAGAAAAAATAAGCAGCCTTTTCTCTGATATGAGGCTTGAATTTAGAGCTTTTCAGATTCTTTGCTTGGCTTACTTGTTTGGCTGGTACTCTATCATTTGAGTCATATCTCCCCTACCCTGGCTTTCTGCTGGTTACTTTGGAGATGGAATCTCAGATGTTGTTGTCATGCTGGCTTAGAACCTCAGTCTTCTTGATCTCAACCTCTTGAATGGCTAGGATTACAGGTGTGAGCCATGTGAGCCAGTGGTACATGGCTAGTTCATCTTTTCCACTATATGAGATAACATAAGACCACTATGATCCAAAAATTCATATGGAACAATAAAAGACCCCGAATAGCAAAAACAATCCTTAACAGAAAGAATAGTGCTAGAGGATATCAATACCAAATTTCAAACTCTACTACAAAGCTATAGTAATCAAAACAGCTTGGTCCTGGCACAAGAACAGACCTCAGGACCAATGGAATAGAATTGAAAACCCAGAAATGAATCTACAGACCTATAGCCATCTAATCTTTGATAAGGGAGCTAAAAAAATAGAATGGAAGAAAGATAGCCTCTTCAGTAAATGGTGATGGCAAAATTGGTTAACTACTTGTAGAAAACTAAAGCTAGATCCTTATATATCACCCTGCACCAGAATCAACTCCAAATGGACCAAAGACCTCTGAGTCAAAGCAGACACTCTGAAAACATTACAGGATGGAATAGGAGAAACCCTAGGTCTCCTTGGCACAGGCTGAAATTTTCTTTTTTCTTTTTGCTTATGTGGTGCTGTGGAATCGAACCCAGGGCCTCATGCATGCAAAGGAAGCGCTCTACTACTGAGCCACCATCCCAGCCCCCGAAATTTTCTTAATGGAGACCCAGAAACATAACAAATCAAAGAAAGGTTGGACAAATGGGATTGCACGAAATTGCAGAGCTTCTGCATGGCAAAGGACATAGCTAGCAAGATCAATAGAAAGCCCACCGATTGGGAGAAGATCTTCACTAGCCATACAACGGACAAGAGTCTCATATCTAAAATATACCTGGAACTCAAAAAATTAAATCCTCCAACAACAAATCCTCAAAGAAACAACTGTCCAATAAATAAGTGGGCTAAAGACTTAAAGAGAAACTTCTCTGAAGAGGAAAGAAGGATGGCCAATAGATACACAAAGAAATGCTCAACCTCTCTAGCCATAAAAGTAATGCAAATCAAAACAACATTGAGATATCACCTCACCCCAGTTAGAATGGCTATAATCAAGAACTCTAATAACAACAGATGCTGGAGGGGATGTGGACAGAAGGGAACCTTACTGCATTGTTGGTAGGAGTGTAAACTTGTTCAACCACTTTGGAAAGTAGTATGGAGGTTCCTCAAAAGACTCCACATAGAGCTTTCCTATGACCCAACAATCCCACTTTTGGCATTTACCCAAATGTTCATAAACAAGACCATAGTAAAGCTACTAGCATAATTATGTTTATTGCAGCATTATTTACCATAGCTAAGATATGGAACCAATCCAGATGCCCCTCAGTAGATGAATGGATCAAGAAAATGTGGTATATACACAATGGAATTCTATGCCTGCATCAGAAAGAATGACATTGCCCCATTTGTTAGGAAATGGAAAGACTTGGAAAAAATTATATGAACTGAAGTAAGCCAGGTCCAAAGAAACACAGGTCCCATGGTTTCCCTTATTTGCAATAACTAGTATATGTCTAAGTCAAACAAAAAAGGTCAGATAAGTTGATGTTAGGTGAAATGAACTCCAAGATAAGTATTGAAATGTTTTTTCTTTTATGCAATTGTTTCTAACATATTTATAAGATGATTTCTTTGTTGCTTTGTATGTCCTTCCCCCACAGTATAACCCCTGCTTTCACTGTATTTGATGTTGGTATAATTTGTGGAAGGGAAGGGAAAAAACAAATCGTTTAAATAGGGATACAGGTGGACCCATTGCAACAATGAGATGTACAAGTCCTTATGTCGAAAAACAAACTTTACAACTTTGGTGCGGGGTGGGGGGAGACGGGGGGAGATGGGAAGGGTTGGGAAGGGGAAACAAAGGAGGAGGCAACAATGCTTGATAAGAAATGTACTCATTATCTTGCCCATGTAATTATAACCCCTTTATATGGTATTTTCACACACACACAAAAAGACTACCATGAGATTTCCCCTATGACAAGGTCATAAAATTCATTAGGAAAAGCAGCTCCATGTTCCCTCAGGACCAGGAGCCACTATCTGTCTCAAGAAGAAGGGGAGAACAAAACTTAGCTGTACCTGGATAGAGGTTTTACACCATTATATACCTCTGCAGGAACATCTCTACATGTGTGGGCTTCATTATCCAGATCTTATGCAATACCAAGAGTAAGGAAGGGCGTGGGTGATTGGCCCCTGCCCCTCCTCCACTTGCTCAGTTTCTGGCAAGGCAGTGTTTTCTCCCACATCTGTTAATGCTGCCAGCTCTGGTCATAAAGGGAAAGAGGTACATACATTAATGATGACACCTTTGTCGAGCAAGCTCTGCTTCTTGGCTGTCATGACAAAGTAATGGGTGCAGTCCTTGTAGTAAACAATGTTCTCGAGGTCGATCCCTGAAAAGAGAAGTGTTCAGATGAGGGATTTATTTCCTTAGCACCCATTGTATGCTGGGCACTATACTTTACCATAACATAGATCTCATTATTTAGGTATAGAATATTCATGTGAGACAAGTGTTTAAGACATACAAGGCTGAGAAAGACAGAACAGAGTGCCAGATGTTACCCAAGTCAGAGAAGCTAGTTATAGTTTCACAAAGATATCGTGAGAGTCATAACAGCCATGGGCATTGTAGACTAGTATTCCTAATTAGAGGTGCAACAAGTGTTGCAGAAAGACCCATTGCTCTACATGGCCATGGCCATGGCCATGACCATGGAAGCTAAGAGATGACACAGCCAGGATGTGAGCTCAACCCTGGATGGCTTCACGTCCCATCCCCCTGTAAGTTCCATGTGGCAGAGATGCATAGAGCTGTGGAAATTCTCCAAGATTTTTTTTAAGTATTAATGAAATTACACATGAAAACCCAGGTACAGTAGTAGGAGCAATTCAAGTCAGAGGCCTGAGCTGTTATTTTGTGTGTGTGTGCTTTCTATCAACACTTTATTTTTTTGGTTTTGTTTTCATTTCTGTTTTGAGACAAGGTCTTGGTCTTGAGCTATGATCCTCCTGTCTCAGCCTTGCAACTACTGCGATTATAGTTATGTGCCATTGTGCCTATCCAACTACAAAACATTTTAACACTAAGTTTCTACATTTAAAATCATGCTTTAAAATGAGAGCTTGGGTCTCTGTTCTGAAAAGAGGAATGGGGTGGTAGTGGTCCAAGGCCAGCAACATAGGTAGGTATAATCCAAGAATTTAGCAAAAAAAACATATTATCTGACTGCCAGATGGCTTATGCCTGTAATCCTAGCTACTTAGGAAGCTGAGATTTGAGGATCTTAGTTAAAAGCCAGCCCAGGCAGGAAAGTTTGTGAGACTGTTATTTCAAATTAACCACCAAAAAAGCCAGAAGTGGAACTGTGGATCAAGTGGTGGAGCACCAGCCTTAAGCTAAAAACCCAAATAAAAGTCTAAGGCCTTTTGTTATAACCCCAGTACTTGCACCAAAAAGAAGTAAAAAGTAAATTATCAGGGCTCCATTCCCAATCTGCTAAATTAGAAACTCTAGGGATTGGGCGAGTATCCCATATTTTTAGCAAGATCTCTCGTTATGCTGATGCAGAGTTCGAGAATCAGCTTATTTACAGGGAAAGGAAGGAACAAATACATAGTGATCCATCTGCTACCATAGGAGGCATGCTGGGTAACTATAGCAACACCTTTATTACAGTTAAATAGGAAACAGCCATCAATGCCAAGGGCCCCCCAGAGAATCAGGAAATTCATGCTGTTACTGCATGAGGATACTGCTGTGAAGCAACGGCCAAAGGTGACAACCACAGCCAAGTTTAAAGGAAGCTCATTGAAACAGTTAGAAAAACATGCTCAATGCCCTGTAATTCATATTCGGTTGTTCAAAGATTTATTTCCCTGACTTTTGAGAGGAAGGGAGGGTTGAAGAATTCATAAATCATTCAAGAGGACAAAATATACTGGAAGGAAATAAAACTCTTCATAAAATAGTAACTTCATAATAACTCTTAATAATAACTCTTCATAAAATAGTGCAACTATGGAGACACTCAGAGGGTTATGAGATGGACACACATCACTGTGTGTGAGGCCCAGTCTGACTCATCACCTAAACTCATTCCTAGAAAATGAGCTTGAAGATATGAGGCCACAGAAATAGTTATATCTATAATAGTCAATTAATGAAAGGTCTAAATCACAGTCCAGAGTTTGGAGGGAAGGACAAATCAAACATTTTTGGCTTTGTGGTCCATATGGTTTCTATTATACACATAGTGGAATCAGCAACAGCCATGGATGTGTTATAGCTTATCTTTATTTATGGGCATTGAAATTTTATATTATTTTTATTACAAAATAGCCTTTTGAGTTTTTCCTTTTTTTCCCTTTATTTTACTCCTTCAAAAATACAAAGCTAGCAAGCCAGCAAGGAGGGGCAGAGGGAAGGAGAAAGAGAAGAGAAAGAGAAAGAGAGGGGGAATCTAATCTCCTTCATTGGTCTACTTCAAGCCCTGGACAACATTCAGCATGTAGCAGGCATCAATCTATCTTTTGAGTGCATGAATCAGTACATCTAACCTCTAGGCTCATGTCTGGGTGACAAATGCCAGTCAGGAAGTATCCCTGATCCCCTTATGCCCCTCCCCCAGGGCGAAAGAGCTGCTTGCTGCATGGAAGTACCTGGGCTTCAGGCACTACCCACAGGGTCACTGGCTCTATCCTCAGAGCTTCTCCAGCTTACACTGATCTCAGGCACAGCTGTCAACCCTAAATTAGGGGGCTTTATGTGGGTGTCCTGCTCTAGACAGGGAGCTACTTTAGGAGGGAATAGTATCAACTTTAACTTTGTACCTCTATATACTGAGCATTGGCAGATGATGGGCATTCCATAGATGTCTGCTGTCTACTAGTAAATGTCTCTTATCTATTTCAACATACAACATCCAGAAGATTATGTCAGGAAACTCTGACATAATGGTCTGGTTTGGAGACAGGTGAGAGTCTCACCTGTTTCTTCTTTTAGGTCCTGGAAGAATTTCTGGTTGAAGATGAAGGCCACACCACTGATCTCTTCTACCTTTGCCTCAGCGGTGCTGTTCCTGTTGATGAAGTTGGCGGTGATGGCAATAGCCAGCTTCCCTCGGAATTCTTTCCTTCGGAATCCTGAGTGAGGCAAAGGACAACTGGGTCAATCCTTTGGATTTGGTGCAAACACTGAAAACACTGTGCCCTGAAGGCCAGAGGAAAAATGTAGGCAGAGAGTCTGGGTTTGTTCTCATCAAGCATGCTTGTCACAGAGGCTTTGAGATGTCCTAACATGTAGGACAAATACCTTGTTGAGGCTTTGGCAAATAGAGTAAGCTCCTCTAGTGAGAGATCAGAGTGCCCTTCCATGGAGATGGCAGGCATTTTACTACTTCTGCATATGAGCCCCACAGGCACTGGGAACTTTCATGGTTCAAATGACTTTGCCAGCACTTTTCTTGGCTTTTATTTTTCTTTTGAAAATTAGTATTAGATTGATTTCTACAAGATAGTGATTTTAAGAGACTGTCTCTATGGCTCCATTTTACAGCGTGGGCTGTACTGTGTCTCCCCATCCCCAGATTCACATGTTGAAGCCCTAACTCTCCTACCTCAGTACATGACCTTATTTGAAAAAAGGGTTAGCTGATCACTGGTGGTTCACACCTGTAATCCTAGCTACCCAGGAGGCTGAGATCTGAGGATCATGATTCAAAGCCAGCCCAGGCAGCAAAGTCCATGAGACTCTTGTCTCCAATAAACCACCAGAAAACCAGAGGTGGCACTGTGGCTCAAGTGGTAGAGTGCTAGCCTTGAACTGAAGAGCTGAGTGACAGCACCCGGGCCCAGAGTTCAAGCCCCATGACTGGCCAAAAAAAAAAAAAAAAAAGGGATGACACAGATAAGTTTACCTGGGAGTAGTTTGGAGTCCTACTCTACTCTAACTGATGGGAAAAGTGGGTACAGATGCACGGGTAAAGGTAAAAGCAGAAATGAGGGTGATGCTTCTATAAGCTAAGGAGACCAAAGATTGCAGCAAACAGCAAAATTAGAACTGTTACTTCCACATTGCTTTGGCTGAAAGACACTGACTCTTTACTGGGGCCCACAAGTGAACTAAAAATGAGATAAAAGATTGGCATCCCTGCCTCTATTCTACACCTGTCTCCTTGTTCTTGGAGTCTCTCCTAAAATCACCCAGATTCTGAGGGTGACAGGATTATTAGATAACATCTTTATGGCAAACAACTAAAACTACTCCCAAGCAAAGCAGAGCCTCCCTGGCCAGACCATTCCCCCCAACTACCTATAATGACCAGGCTGCATGAGTGATTGTCTCATGGGAACCAGATGGCTCCCTTCAAGGGATGACAGCAATAACAACTCTGGAACCCCTCACAGAACCAGAATCTGCCAAGGACTGTTTTTGCACACCTCTCTCTGACTGCCCCAATTCTTCCCCTTATTTAAAGCTAAAGCTCATTTCTGTACAATGAAGAGGAGATGAAGTCCTTACTTTGCCTCTTCCCATGACATGACTGAACCATATAATAATTATCTTTTCTCCAACCTTCCCCACTACACAACTGTAATTAAAATATTGAAGTGATTGGCTGGACCTGATATGTTGGAACCCAGAGATGGGCCACTGGCTTAGGAGTCTGGTTACAAGCTAAGAGAGAAGCATGGAGCAGATTCCACAGAAAGAACTAATCCTGAGAGGTCTTGATCTTGGACTTCCAGCCTCTAGAATTACAAGGTAGGAAATTTCTGTTGTTCAAGCCACTCAGTTCTGGCAGTTTTTAGGGAAGTCTAAGAAACCAACACAGCAATTCCCAGTGACTGACACTTATTATATATTTCTCCTTTAAATCAACCCATGGTAATTTTTTCACATATTTACAATTTAATATATACAGGTATATATTAAACAATGATCAAATCAGGATAATTAGCATATCATCAGCTCAAAAATTCATTCATCATCTGTTTATGGTGAGACATTCAAGTCTCTTCTTTTAGTATTTTGAAATGCATATTATATTATGGCCATACTATTGTGCAATAGGATATCAGAGCCTATCCTCAGGGCTCTCAGTTTTCCACTATTTACATGATAATTTCTTTTGAGTGGTAGTGACATAGGATCACAGCAGGTTGTCATATTTCTTTTTTTTTTTTTTTTTTTTTTTTTTGGGTCCGGTCGTGGGGCCTGAACTCTGGGCCTGGGCGCTGTCCCTCAGCTCTTCAGCTCAAGGCTAGCACTCTGCCACTTGAGCCACAGCGCTACTTCCGGCTTTTTTTTGTTTTTGCTTATGTGGTGCTGGGGAATTGAACCCAGGGCCTCAGGCATGCAAGACAAGCGCTCTACCACTGAGCCACCTTCCCAGCCCAGGTTGTCATATTTCTTAATCATGGCTGGCACTCTACTTGAGCCATGCCTCCAGCCTGATTACACACACACTTACACACACACATTGTTTTTTTTTTTTTAAAGCTTCTGCTTTTTCTTGTCATACTGAATCTTCTCATGCCATTTATTTATTTGAAGCCAAACACCTGTTGCTAAAGTTTGACTATATTATTTATTTGTTGGCAACTAAATCCAAAAATTCATTTTTGTGTGTGTGCTGATACTGAGGCTTGAACTCAGAGCTTGCCTGCTGTTTTGCTCAGGCTGGTACTCTACCATTCAAGCCATAACTCCACTTTTCTATTTTTGGCAGTTAATTAGAGATAAGAATCTCATGGACTTTCCTGCTTGGGATGGCTGTGAGCTATGATCCTTAGATCTCAGACTCTTGAATAGCTAGGAGCCACCAGTGCCTGGCTTCCAAATTCATATATTGGTAGTATTGGAGATATGGCCTTTGGGAAGTGATTGGGTCATAAATTTTCTGCCCTTAAGAATGGCTTAATTCATTCTTGGATTAATGAGTTAACTGGTGATATTGGGAGTAGCTTTGTTGTAAGAGACAGTACTCTCTGCCACGCCTGCTTCCTTGGCACGTAATGCCCTCACCATGTTAGATGTAGCAAGGAGACTCTCACCAGGTGTTAGTGCCATGCTCTTAAGACTTCCAAGTACTATGAACTAAACAAACCTGTGCTCTTAATAAACTATCTAGCTTCAGTTGTCCTGTTACAGCAGCAGAAAACAGAGTAAGGTCTTAGTCTTACATGTACAGACATGCTGGACATAAACTTTCCCTCCAGTCACCTTTGGGAGTTTCCCAGCCTCATGCTGACTCTTTGAGTATGAGGGGATCCTCTCTATCCAAAATGCCTTTAACAGGAGCCCTGGGTCATTATTCAATACTTCTTTAAGCTGTCCATCATTAGACTTTTGTCAAAATATCAGAAATGGTCATTACTAGTCTTCAGGTTAGTATTTCTCACCTGGAGTGACTTTGCCTCCCAGGGTATATTTGGCAGTGTATGGGGACATTTCTAGTTATTATAACTGGTAGAATGGATGCAGGAAGTGGGTGTAGAGGGTATGCTACCATAATCTACTGGGTGAGACCATCAATTCCATTAAACATCCTTGGGCAAAGAATGAGAGCCCCATGACAAAGAATATAACCAATATTGGGAAAGCCTGCCTTAGTCTAACCATTTTGGGCTAAGTTGCTTAGATGGTTCTATCCTTTCCATCTTTCTTTCCATGCTCAAGAAATGCTAAACTATATTCAAGCTGAATATGGATCCTAGATTTTCAAATATTCAGAATCATAATTTTAGTATGACACAAAAATGTGCCATAAATTCCTCCAGTACACTTGGATAGGATTGTAGGGAGGAGGGTATGGAAGCGGAGAATGGCAAAAGGAACTGTATAGCAGATGGGAAGGGCTCGAGGTAGAGGGCCATACATCCTGAATTTTCTGAGACCAGCTTTGTAAAGAATGCCCCAACCCTAGAGAACATGCCTTCCCAGATCGATATCTGTAGCCTGTTATTCATAATGAGGGCAAAGCAAGATGGCAGAACTGTTCCTCATTTAAGACATGCCACTGGGGACCATGGCATCATTCATGGTCTGATAGTACCATTTATATACATTAAGGTTATCTGGGGGGAAGGCCAAGGTAAGTGCTAGTCATGGAGTTCTCTCTCACCTTAAGTGAATCTCACTCCAAGAAAGCACATATGCTTCCAGCTTTAGGACCTAGAGAAGTGTGGTTCTATACCCTGCCAGGCTGGCAGGACTTGTATAACTTCCCAGCAGTGAGTATGCTTGAGACTTATGAAGAATGGGCCACCTCCTTCATTTAGTAGTGTATTTTAAACGTGAACAAATGTCATTAATAGCATGAAATGTTTACCTTGGATGAAGTGACTCTGGAAATGCTTGGTGCCCTGGCTCATACATTGGCAGGTGCTCCACAAATGTATGTTGACTTTTCCCATGACACTGTACCTCTTTGAAGCATTTTTGTATGCTAGTCCTTTCCCAGTCTTCAACATATTGCCCTGGGAGAATTACCCTGCCCTTCTGTGAGACTCTCTTCCAGTCTAGTTTTGGCATCTTTATCTTGTCCATCCATCTCCAATGTTCCTTTCCTAGCCCCTCAAAGAGTTCTTACCTTCCAAGGTGTTCCTGCGGCCATCTGCACCAATGATGACATCAAATTCAAATTCAGAAAGGGCATGGTCCATAGGGAGGAATTCTGCCCGCCAGCCAATTTCTACCAAGATAAAAAAGATGAGTTGAGCTGACAGGAAGAGGTGATTGAAAAAGTGATATCACTCCTATATATTGGCCAGAAATGTGTGATGTACCTCAAGAACAGCCTCTGGAAAAAAGGACTAGAGATTCTTGCTCCCTCAAATTTTGATATTAGTTCAATTCAGAACAAACCAAACCAGCAACATCGGTTCTATGCTTGGTTTTGTTGACCTTTTCTTCTCTCTTCCAATTCCCCCATATTTTTTTTCTCAATGGCTCTGGTATTGCCAAAGAACTCAAACAAAATGAATGGGCAGGCTGTCACAGAGCCAGATTAAATTTCTACTTTTGCTCAAAATGTTTCATTGGGCAGCATTTTGCCTCTAAACACATTTTCAGGTGAAGCATAGCTGAGGACTGAGTGTCCAGGAGAGGTGTGGAGATAGTTTGAAGGTCATAGTCTCTGAATACCAAATAATAATGCTGTCCTGCTACACAAATAACGAAAGCCCTCTAAATTCTCAAATGTTTTGGCAGGACACAGAAGAAGTCAGAGATGTACCTTCTGTAGGTAACTACAAGATTTTTGACAATAAACTCAAAGGCCAGCCCTTCCAATGCTAGAGAAGACTTTGGTAATGCGTAAGATGTCAAGGCTTTCAAACTTAACTCTGACTGTGATACCTATAAGTGATCAGAACTCAAACATTAAAAAAAAGGAGAAACAGAAACATGATAGGACATATCTATAAGGGTGAATTTCATGGCTTATAAAGTAAACCTCAATAAAGTTAAAAACATTACATACCAAAATATTCTTATTTATTTTATGGTGCTAGAGGTCAAACTCAGGGCTTTAAACATGCTAAATAAATACTACCACCGAGTTATAACTAGTCCTTCCCTCAGCAACATATTGACATTTTATTTAGGTAGCACTGGGATTTGAACTTTCTTGCTTGCTAGGCTTAATGTGCTAATAGTGAGATACACCTCCAGTTTCATATTCCACCAGTTCTTTTTTGGAGATATGGTCTTGCTTCCAGTCTGAGTGTATGCCTGAGTCAGAATCTGCTTAGTTTAGGCTTCCTACAGTTGATGGGGTCACAGGAAAGCCCTATTATGTTCAATTTCCCTTTTTGGAGATGGAGTCTCATGGACTTTTCTGTCTGGGGTGATCTTAAACCTTGATCTTCTTATTGTTAGTTTCCCAAGTAGCTAAGATTACAGGCGTGAGCTACTGGTACCCAGTTCTATTTTATGGATGCTCTGGATTTTTAAAATATCTTGTAAGTATAAGGTATTTACTAGACTTTAAAATATCTTCTAAGCACCATAGGAGCACCCACATAATTCTGCATGAACTCTCAGACACAATTTGAAGTGAATGTAAAGGAACTTTACCAAACTACCACATCTGTCATCTTTCTTGCTATTGATTAGACTTCATTAGACAAAGTAGAGTCTCCCAAAGACAGAGTAACCAACTTACAGGTTTCAAAATCACCCAGAACTGGAGAGAAAACGTAAAGTGATAGTAGTGCTTAAAGAAGGTAAAACTATCTTCCAATAGCAGTATGCCATACAGCTTCCAATGAAAACAACACTAGCATGCATAGCCTCTGTGACCTATGAATGAAATGGCTGGCTTGCAATACCTGACTTTGAGGCAGAGAAAGAAAATAAATTATACTGTACTTTGATTTTCTTGATCTTCAGGAGGCTCTAGAACCTTTACAAACTCCACATTCACATGGATTTCAACTCCCAACATCAGGGCCACCTTGAATAGGATGAGCTGCAGTTGACGAATACCTGTCAAGAGGTGAGATGAAGAGAGTTAGGGCATCAATAGCAATATCTGAACACCTCTTATATGCAGAATGCTGCATGAGCATAGCTCAGGGATCTTGGTACAGCAATATTTCAACAATGATACCACTGGGGTTTGTGGCAAATACTTTGTGTCTCTTCATTTGTCCTGCACAGTGGTCCTTGGGGACCACAGTTATTACTGAGGCTTATGTGACTTGCTCATGGAATCTCGCACATTACTAGAATGTGGGCACAGTTTTATCTGATTCAAAAAATCTGTTGTAGTCATTTGATGATGCCATTGTGAGAAGGGTTCTGGTTTTTCCTTCCTCCTTTCTGAGCTGGCCCTGGGCTTGCTAAGGTAAAGATGGAAGCAGGAAGAGAAGAGAGGGGAGAGAGAGGAGAGAAAGGAGAGAAAGGACAAAGAGGAGAGAGAGGGGAGAGAGAAGAGAGAGAGGAGAGAGAGGGGAGAGAGGGGAGACAGGAAAGAGAGGGGAGAGAAGAGAGAGGAAAGAGAGAGGAGAGAGAAGAGAGAGGAGAGAGGTATGAGAGAGGAGAGAGAGGAGAGAGAGGAGAGAGGGAGCAGAGAGGGCAAAGAGAAAGAGAGTGTGTGTGTGTGAGAGAGAGAGTACATGTGTTAAGGGCCACAAGTTAGTGATCAAGTGTGTCTCTAGATGATCTCAGATCTAAGCTCTTCATTCTCCAATGGTAAGGACAATCATGGGCATGGTGGTTTGGCAGTAGGATGATAGAATAGAGCCTGAGCTGGGGTCCTGAAAGCAAAATAGGATGAACCAAGAATATCAAATCCCAATGGCAGATTTAGGACTATGACCGCTACAGGAGGCTAGGGCACTTGGAACCAGCAGGCTTCTCTTTCAGTGGTGAGAAGTCAGATGGCCATGAGGAGTATGAGTGGGTAGTATAAACACTCTATATCTCCACTTTCCAGAATAGTAGTGGAGCACCCACAGAGGGCTGGGGGTGAGAGTTAGAGAAAGGAACAGTACTTCTGGCTGCCTGGGGAGGAACTAGAGTTGGAAGGAGGTGGCCAGCTCTGCCTCTAATCTAGGGCTCCCAGGAAGGAGTAGGTCCTAGAGTGGAAGAGGAACAAAAGGGGATGACATGGCAAAAGCCAGTGGCCTCTTTTCCCCATGGCACAGAAGGGAGACCATCTGCTAAGAACCAGCAGGCTGCAGTGGAGGTTTAAAAGCACCATGCAGGGAAGTAGGACACTAATACAGGACAACTACTAAGCCATGCCAAGCACAAGGGCACAATAAGGTCTGGAAACCAAATGGTTTGAATAGAAGCCAATGAATGGTTTTACAGAACCCAGTCCCCCTCTGGTCATGAGCCATCCTTCCAAGGAAGCCTGGACCACTCCTCATATGTCAAGGTTCCTGATCTCTCTGTATTTAGCACACAGCCCAATAGGTGCTCAATAAATGTCCCCCCCACCCCCGCATCTCTCTCTACTATAGGGATTGGAGTGATGATCATTCTGAATATTCCAATCTCACTTTCAGAGTTTCCACATGCTGGGATATTTCCAAAGATGAGGGGTTAAATGAAAGCCCTGTCAATGAGGGCAGGAAGGATCCTACAAGACCTTCTGAGGCCAGCACTGCCTCTCAGGAGGACTAACAACAAAGTGGTACTCAGTGTCATCACTTTCCATTGGTAATTGACACATATTCTTCCATGGGTAGGACAGAAAAATCCTGAAAGCTGACACTGCAGCTTTCTAGGCAAATCCAATTTTCTTTCCATTGGACTCTGGAATTTTCTCATCCCAAAGTGGGAATAAGCTCTGGAGCCACTGCTGGTAAATTCTTCCATGTCTGATTAAAAATGACACCTTATTGTCTATTGTCTCCAAGCATTCCTGCCTAAACCACGCCCCCTTCCTCCACCAATTCCTATCTTCACAAGAACATAGCTCTGTGGACTTTTCTCTATCCCAGTTCTACAGAAAGGCACTGGTTGACAATGCAGCTCTAAGGATGTCACTGCTTCTTTCTCACTGGGTGTAAAATACTTTCCTGAGTACCTCCTATGTGCCAGGCAGAGCACCACGCATGTTGCAAACCTGACCCTGTGTGATCCTCTCACCAGTTCTAGCAGACAGGCATTAATCCCATTTTACATGACATAAAACTGAGGCCTGAGGAAGGTTAAGAAATTTGGCACAAGACAGAAAGAAACAAGGGAGACAGACTTTTTAGACCCACATCAGTTCAAACACTTGCCCTCTCTTCACATGTTAACTTCCCTCACTTCCATTACCATAAATAAAATGACTAAGGATCCCCTCTTTGTGAGGCTGTGAGGTGGGGTACTGCTTTCCCCAAAGCCATTCTGCATAGATCTTGCTCTGAGAGACTCAAGCTAGAGAAATGACACAATGGAAGAGCTGTGGCACTCTTCTCACACTATGTGAGCAGTCAGAGGTAGCCCAGGGTCTGGAAATCACATTCTGTAACTGTTTCCTTTCCTCACGGAAGTGCTTCATGACACCTTCTCTAACAAAAACCCCTATATGAGCTCTGTGCTCTGTCAGAGAATATAAATCTATTTATACCATTCTCCGGTTCTGAACCCTGCCACTGCTCCCAAGCATCAAGAGTACCATGTCCAAAGTCCTTAGCACAAGAAGGTCTCTATTATCTGGCACTGTAATAGTTTTGTGCAGCTCCCTCCCTTGAATATCTCTAGTAAGTGTGGTACATTCTTCTGAAACATAGACAAAATCTTGGTGAATTCCCCGAATACGTACTCAGCTGCTTACCTATGGTTCCCATGATTTTGTTCATTCATTCATTCATTCAACAGGTGAGCCACTACTATGTGTCAAACGCTCTTTTATGTCCCAGGGGTAGATATTTTGGTAACCAAGATATGTCATAGTCCTTGAACAGCTGGTGTTCAGCCTAATATGGAATAGTATAGGGCTAAGAACAAGACGCAGAAAGGCCTTGACTGTTAGGATGGATGTAAGAAGTCTCAGACACTATTCACATGGGACTATCTGGGACTCCTAGATGTGGAGATATGCCCCACCCACTGTGAGATCTTGACCTTCAGGGGGCTACCACTACTCCACTTACTGATGTGGTCGATGGAGCCGGCACAGAACTTCCCATAGAACTTCTTGGCTCCCAGGCCCCGCAGGTCATGAATGGTAAAAGGCCAGAGATGTAGCACATTGTTCCGAGAGAAGGTGTCCCTCTTTTCTACCACAACCACTTTGGCTCCCAGGTAGGCAAGTTCAATGGCAGTGCGCAGGCCACATGGTCCTCCCCCAACGATGAGACACTGCAGAGGTAGAGGGGAGAGACTGAATAACCTGAAACATAGTGGTATCACAGGGAGGCAAATTCATTAGCAAGGGTGCACCACATGCCTATTGGAGTCTGTCAGTTACTCACCTAGAGCATGTGGGTCTACCATGGCCCAGATACCATGCAAACTTGGGGAGAGATGCATTGATAAAAGGACTCAAGAGAAGGCACAGTAAGATGAAGGTCAGAGGGAGATTGGACCTCCTTTAAATTCCAGTTCTTTCATTGGACCACTTGGTTTCCTGTGACATGGTCTATGAAGAGTTGCTCTTTCTCATAGGGTTGTCAAGTAAGCTCTCTCTAGAAAAGCATATGGTTGTGTCTGTGTGACCCCTGGTTGGGCAATAGCTTCTTAATATCCAAAGCACAAACAAAAGAAAATGGATAAATTAGACTTCATCAAAATTAAAAACTAGTGTTTCCAAAGATGGAGGGAAATATTTGCGAACTATATATCTGTCAGGGCACTGGGACCCAATATTACATAGAGAATGCTTACCATTGAATAATAAAACCACAATAGCCCAGTGAAGACCAGGCAAAGAATTTTCATACCACTCTAAAGAAGAAATACAAATAATCAGTAAGTGCATGAAGAGATACTCAATGAAGGTCACTGGATCTCAGAGAAATGCAAATGGAAACCATATTGAAGTATCAATCACCTCCCATTTACCAGGATGGTTATAATAGAAAAAAAAAACCAAAAGAACAAGTGTTAGTGATGATATGGAGAAATTCAGACTCTTACACATTGCTAGTGGGAATGTAGCACTGCTGTGGATGTGTTGGAAAAGTCTGGTCATTCCTAAAATAATTAAATTTAGAGCTACCAGCAATGCCTAGGTAAATATAGTCAAAAGAAATGGTCATAATAGTCCAAAATGGGGCCCATTCAAGTATCCATTAATTAATGACAGGCTATGATTCAGCCAGACAATGTAATTTTATTCAGCGATAAAAAATGTAAATCTTGAAAACATTGTGTTAAGTAGAAGAAACCCAATACAAATGGCTGTATATTGCACATTTCTATTTATGCAAAATGTATAGAATAGGGAAATGCAGAGAAATCACAAGTAAATTAGTTGTTGGCAAGGAATAGGGGTGGAAGGATTGCGGGGAGTGCCACTGGACTTGACGCTTCTTTTTGGAATGTTCTGGAAATAGTGATGATTGCAAAACTTTGTGAATATAGTAAAACAATTGAATTACACAGTTGAAGTAGGTGAATAATACAGAATGTAAGTTGAATCTTAATAAAATTGTATGGGAAACTATATATGGCATAGTGCTTTGCACTCACTAGTGTAAATTTTATTCTTATTATTGAAACCTAGTTCTTGTCTTCCAGAAACTCTCAGGCCAGGGGTAAATTCAGACTTTGAAATAATAGCCTATCATGTGGTTAGTCTATTTGGAAGCCACAAGGGAAAAGTTAATCCTGCCTAGTAGACTGGAAACAATTCCATAGAAGAGGATCTTTGAAAGTTATCATTATAATCAGCATCACTGTAGCCTACACTTGATGAACATTACAAAGTTTTCCAACTGCTTTACATACTTCAGCGCTTAATCTTCCAAAAAGCACAGTGCTCATAGAAAGGAACTATTAGTAAGCTATTTTGCAGATGGAGAAACTGAGGTTCAGCAATTGGCCCATGGAGTCATAGATTGAAAGGGACAGAGCCAGGATTCAAATCCAGATGGTCTCATTCCAGAGCTCATCCTGTGGTACTGCTTCTGATTTACTCAGGATAAAAAAGGAGAAACATTGCAATGGAGGACACACTTCATTCAAAGAGAAAGGGTTTAGGGTGGAAAGAGAGGATACTTTAGAGGAGAAGAAAGAGGACAATCAGCTTGGAGCCAGATAAAGTAGGTCTTTGATGTCAAGCATGGTCACAGGTGATAAATGGGACTCTACAAATGCCGTGCTCAATTCTCAATAGACAGTGCATGCTAAACAAGACCAGGGCCCTTCCCCAGGGAAGACACAGCCCTTTAGGAGAACAGTGGAGATAAATGGTGACCTAGGTGGTTGCACTCGGCAAAAGCCCTTCCATTCAAGCGTTATTGTATGAGCAATTCTGATGTCATCTAAAACCAGTGCTCCATAGCAGTGTTCCAGCCCTTCCCAAGTTAAGAGGTCACCAAGGTATCAACAGCCAAGGCTGCCCAGCAAGAAACCAAGCAGGACCTGTGCCTACCCCTCATCCCTTTATATTTCAGAGGCATCTGGAAACTTTCCTCTCTCAGGATCAGGCCTTATCTTAGAAAAACACAGTCCCCTTCCTGAGCAAATATTCCATCCTCTAGCTATCACTCAGCTGGGCTGCTGGGCTCCCAAAGGGAGAGTCCAAGCAAGGGTATCAGGAGCTCCCACACCACAATCAGTGTATTTTACTGGTTGGAATCTTCCAGAGAGTTTGTGGACATCCAATTAAGGGAAATGAAGTCATTGCTGAGATACGACTCACCCCAGAGACATTGAGGAGTGGATGGGTGTGCAGGGCACCAGCTTCCTCCCTGGACAGAGGTGCCTGGAGAGAAGTGCTCCTGAAGCCCAGATCCCCTCTTTATCTCACACCCCAAGCAGCTCCTCAATCCACATAGCCAGACAATGACGGTCTTTTCTGAGCATGCTCCAAACCCCACACTTGTGAGGTTTGCTGTGGGGTGAAGTCTGGATTCACTGCATTTCTTTGCAGTTACTGCATCTTTTCCTGTTTGTGAATTGTGTCACTCTAGGGCCAGTACTGGAGGGGCTGGAGGATGTGAGGTGATGAAGGGCAGCAAGAGGAGGAGGGGGACCACCCACAGCCTTCCATCTACCAGACTTCACCAATTACTACTCCTGGACAAGGCAGGAGACCCCTTTTCTATAGCTAGATACTGCTGTGCACTTTATATTCAGTATTGTTGGTGTCCTAACTGTTCCTTTTACCTACACCTGAATTGCCATTGGCATTTCTCACCAGCCTAGGCCCCAGCATATATTTTGGGCCTGAGATTTCAGAAACATCAATCACAGGGATTATTTAAAGGCAAAGAAAATACCAATGGGCCTAATTATATCAAGAGAGAACTCCAGGCTGGTGAGAGAGCCTGCTGGCTGGGAGCCAGGGCAATTCCCTTGAAACCTGCTAGCTATGATTAGCATGGAGATCCAGATTTCTGATCAGAGACCCAATACCATGACAGCCATGTGATTGGGCAGAGGAACAGGGACAGAAGGCATGCCCATGGAGCCCATAGTTGATACTCTCAATGCTGAGCAGGCCTCAAACAGACTACAGAAGCAAAGTGTTGTGCTAATATAATCCAAAGGAACTTTCCCCTTCCTCCAAACCCATCCAGCCCATTGTCTTCCAAGGATTTCACTCAAATTTACCTCAAGAACTTCCTCAAGTCCCTAAATCAGACTGCATACTGCTCCCCTGTGCTCCCAACTGCTGCCTTAGAACTAAGTTCTGTGTCTGATAAGCAGACTGGCTGCAGAGCCAGTCTGAGTGCTCCTCAAGAGCTGCCCAGTATCCTCTGCATTTCTGGGTGCCCAGATCTCAGTATGGGGCCCAGCATGCAGGAGCTTTAACACATAGCTGATGAATGAATGGATTTTCCATGAACATCTCTACTCACTTCTGGCTCTGTTAGGGGGATAGAAATTTGGTGCTTGTTAGTCAAGGTTAATGTTCGTAGGTCTCCACCCAGACTGGGGGAGTACGGGTCTGCCAAGGCCACCAGCATCATGGATTCAGCATATCCGTGCACTTGAGGGACATGAATTATTACTCACTGGGGAATGGGACAGATCCAAGACTAGCAGGAAATCCTCAGCAGAGTTCAGTCCTCCATGTTAGCAAAGAGGAGAGACAAACACCATATGGAACTTTCAGCTCTGTATTTACCAAATGGTAGGAAGGGGTCACGGCTAACTTGCTCAGCAATGTACAAGGGCTGAGGTGGCCCTAGCTCACATACAACTCTTGTTCTACTTCAAGGGGGTCCTAAAAGCTTGACCCACTTCTTGATGGCAAAGCAACCTCTCCTCCCAGCGAGTAAGTCAATGGCTGCTGGGCCCATTCCACAGAGGGAGATTCAGAGGGAATGGAGCCTTGGCCAGGCCTCAGCAGTCTTCAGGTTTTGTTTCTATCTCCTACCTCTGCTCTTTTTGGGTGCTGTGTGTGCAGATCTTGCAGCGAGCTGACTGTAAAAGGCCGGCAAGTAGAGTTACCTATACATAAGAGGGCTGCCATTCACAAGACTGCTCCTCAATGCTCCTCAATGCCCTGTACCTCAGTGGAAAGATGATTAGAACATCTCAACTGTACCATGCCCAGCAGTTTTGACTTTCTAGGCACTATCCTAGCCATTAGGTATATTTTTTCCTTGCAACTGATCTACACAAGTGCTAGTATCATCCCTGCTGTATAAATGAAGAGCTTGTGAGGCATTAGGATGATGGTGGTTTGAAGCCAACTTGGCCAAGAAGTTAGTGAGAATTCACCTCAAAAAAGAAAGAAAGAAAAGAAAGAAAGAAAGACAGACAGACAGACAGACAGAAAGAAAGAAAGGAAGAAAAGGTAGGAAGGAAGAAAAGGAGGGAGGGTGGGAAGGAAGGAAGGAAGAAAGGAAGAGAGAAAAGAAAGAAAGAAAGAAAGAAAGAAAGAAAGAAAGAAAGAAAGAAAGAAAGAAAGAAAGAAAGAAAGGAAAAGAAAGAAAGGAAAGAAAGCCACGAATGGTGTACATTTGTAGATCTGTAATCTAATACAGGGTATGTGAATACATAGGTAGGAAGATTACAGCCTAATTCAGGTTCTGGGGAAATCAAGACCCTGTTAAAAAAACAACACTAGAAAGGAAGAGACAAAGGACTGGGATAAGTTCAGATGGCAGAGCTTCTACTTAGCAACCACAAGGCCCTGAGTTCAAATTCTCGTACAAAAGAAAGAACAGAAGGGCGGGAAGGAG